ACAATCTTTCTTTGTCTGTGACGGTCTTCCGTGACTTACTAACTTCGGTGACAATAGTTGCGATGCTCTAGATCATGGTCACCTCAGGTGGTTTAGATCATATCAAGAGCTGGTAGTCTTTCAGATTAGCTGGCAAACTTACTGATTGCTGATGCATTTTAAATGCATTGTAGTTGACCAAAAGCTCGTTTACAACGAACCTGTTAATTATGCACCGCTGCACTTCCCAACCCAGGTAATAACAGGTATCAAAATTGTCTTGGTGGGCTTTCATATTTTTCAAAATATCTCATTTATTTCATGGGGTGATTTTATTGGTATTTGTAAATGACGTTTAATATCAATATTTAAACAATTGAGTTCAAACACCGTCGCGAACATTAATAAAAGTAATTGCTCTCAGGGTAACTTGAAGCATGTGTATGCCCAGGCATTACTTCCGTGGAAGAAAACGTGTTGAAGAACAAACAGAAAAAAAGAGCGGTATATCAAAGAAAAAAATAGGAACTTATGTACTAAAATGGTTCGTAATCCTAATTCGCATATGCTTTGAGAATTTGTTTCTGAATGTTATTTCATCTGAAGTATAAAATTATTTAAAAGATTTATCATTTTATACCTTGCAATACAAGTTCTGCGTCTGTACACAAAACTTTTTGCAAATTTGTATGCTTTGTCAAACCCAAAAACATGTAGCAGATCAAGGTAAAAGAGCATTGTTTGCTATAAGTAGCATGGGAAAAATCATTACTTGAATGTTTACTAAATGTGCAGTTTTACATACGTGAGTATAAAAAATTGAAAAATTCCAAGCACGCACAGCAAAATGTAGACTAACGCAAAACATCAAGAACAGCGTAATCTCAGCAAATGTGCCCCATATAGTAGCTTAATTTCCATTAATAATAAAATCATCATTTAAGTCAAAAATTTTCTGTCGATTTAATAAATGTTCTAATTTATCCAGAACGGTATATTTATTTAAGAGGAGGCTAACTGAAATATAGTTTTATTATTTGTTTATTTTGCATTTGAAAATTCCCCATGTCACCCTGTTAATTAGAAGGTCTAAGCTGGATCAAGTCCGTGATAAAATTCCTATGAAGCTGTGCAGGAAAAATTCTTCCTTTGTTTCTCTAGCTCCTCAATAAACCCGGTGTTCAGATTTTATCTAGTACCCCCAGGTCTGCGGGAGCTGCTCTTTGAAACTAAAGCACAGGTAGATTTTTACCTGAGATAAATATCGCCAGCCATTTAACCCTCTAATTAAGAGGTAAAGGAAGTTCCAGTTAGATGGATGATTAAGATGGGACTTGTAAAGGTAAAGGTAAGAGATTTAAATGAGTATTAACTTTCATCAGAAGCCAGAGAAGTCATCTTACAGGTAGACAATGCAGCTCAGTTTGACAGCTAAGCACGCTCTGTTCTCCAGTGGCTCGATTGTCGTCATCGGACAACGTGACCACGTAGCTCATTAACTCCCAGAACGAGCAAATAGGACGTTTTTTAAAGCCAAAAATTTACAAAATGAGCTTTTAATTTGTGTATTTGGATAAAGATATCGTTAGTTGGGCATGTTTTCTGAAGAATATGTTCCGTTGAGGCCATTCTGACGGTATGAAGCAAATCCTTTAATAGAATCTGCAGTTTCCACAGTTTTTGTTTCAGTCAGTTCATTAGTATTCGCGGTACTGTGGTAATTCTCACACTGTTTTGTAACATTGTCACTTGGAGTATACATAGGATTCTGACAGTCCTGTAGTTTTCAACTAGTTGGAAATCCACTGTTCATCATACGTGATGGAGATTTATCACGAATGTAGGGTTCAATTTTCGTTGGACGAATGTGTATTCTATTCCTTCTATAGGTAGCTCCATCCTGGGCTTTGACCTTGTAACTATGTTCATCACATGTGTCCAATACTTTTCCTAAAATCCATTGTTGATTTTGTTTTTGTTCAAAGTATACATTTTGCCCTATTTTGAGCTTGGTCACGCGCACTCTTATCATGGTATTTCTTCACAGATTTGTTTCTTTTGTTGATCTTTTCTAACACCTGAGGATCCTTGATTTTCTTAGCAACTGACGGTAAGAATGTACGTCCTGGCTTTCCAAACACCATTTGGTATGGGCTCAGCCCAGTTTCTTGTCTTGGTACATTTCTTAGTTCTAATAGAGCTTCAAACTGATCCTCATTGTTTTTAACGCATTTGTACATAAGGTGTTTTACAGTTTTTACTGCCGATTCAGCCTCTCCGTTTGCTCTTGGGTAGTGTGGGCTTGATTTTATGTGTCCTATACCCCATTTCTTCGTGAATTGGTCAAAGACACTTGACGAAAACTGCGGCCCACCATCAGATACCATGGTGATCGGGACACCATATCTCGCAAAATGCTTCTTCAGAATCGTGATAACTACATTGGAAGTAGTAGTGTTCAGATAGTCTACTTCTATAAAGTTGCTGAAATAATCAACTGTCACAAGGTAATTTCTACCTTTGATTTCAAACAAATCTTAACCAACTTTCTGCCATGCACTTGTTCCTCGGTCATGCTGATTAAGAAGGTTTTTACTGGTTCTTGGCTTCATTTCTTGACATGCCTCACAGTTATCAGCCAACTGTTTAATCTCAGCATTCATACTCGGCCAATATACTGTTCCCCTGGCTCTTCTTATCATTGAGTCATAGCCACAGTGTGACTTGTGCAATCTTTTCTTAATATCTGCACGCATTGTTTTAGGAATGACTACAGCTTCCCTTTTAACAATTATGCCTTCATACAAGCTAAGTGTGTCTCTTATATCATAATATGGCTTACACACATCTGGTGTACTCACTTTTGACTCTGGCCAACCATTTTCAATAAGGTCACTAAGAACTTGCATGTCCTCATCAGCTAAGGTTGCATCACGAATTTCAATCAATCTTGCATCAGAGATATCTTCATTCACTCTGATGTCCATGATTCTAGGTCGGTGCTCTAGGTCATCCATCAAATGTGCTCTACTTAGACAGTCTGCAATGATGAGTGAGGTTCCCTTTACAAAGTGAAATTCGAAGTCATATCGATATATTCTCATCATGATGTCTTGTAGACGCTTGGGAGCACTGCTGAGGGGTTTACCTAGGATAGAGTCCAATGGTTTGTGGTCGTTTTCAATTATCACCTTCCGTCCATAGGTATATTGATCAAAACGCTCTAAACCATACAAGATAGCGAGTGCTTCCTTCTCAATCTGGGCCCACTTCCTTTCTGATGCTGTAAGTGATCTCGAGGCATACTCCACTGGCTTGCCTTCTTGTAACAGCACAGCGCCCAATCCATGTTGGCTGCTATCCACTTGGAGTCCAACTTCCTTCTCAGGATTGAAATATGCCAGCAATGGTGCTTTAGTTACGCTTTCTTTCGCTGTGTTGAGTGCCATTTCACATTGCTTAGTCCACTGAAATGGTACGTTTTTTCTAGTAAGCTCTCTGATCGGCTCCATCATGCCTGAGAGGTCTGGTAAGAAGCGCGATAGGTATTGCACCATGCCACACAAACGCTTGACACTGCTCACATCAGTGGGTGATGGCATATCAATTATGGCTTTCACTTTGGCTGCGTCAACTTTTACTCCATCTTTAGAGATTTTATGTCCATAGAAAGTGATCTCCGTTAGGCCCGTTTTCTGTTTCTCTTCATTGCGAACTATGTTTCTTTCAGCACACCTCTGTTTCAGTATGCTCAGCTTCTTTTCATTGTCTGCCTTAGCTTCTGCTTCTGGATAACCCTGTCCCGCGATGATGATATCATCTACAACACAGAATATTCCATCTATGTCACCCAGGGCTTCATCTAATTTCGTCTGAAATATTTCACTCGAGACTTTGAGACCAAACGGCAGTCTGGACCACCTAAAGCGACCATACGGCGTTATCATTGTCGTGTATTTGCTTGACTCCTCATCCAGGCGGACATGGTAAAATGCCTCTTTAACATCCACTTGTGAGAATATTTTGGCATTGTTCAATTCTGGCAGTATGTCGTCTAATACTGGCAGTCTGTAGTGCTCTCTCATCAGCGCTGTATTAAGAGGTTGTGGATCAATGCACACTCTAATTTTTCCATTAGGCTTCTGCACAATAGCCATCTGACTAACCCATGGTGTAGGCTCAGTCACTGGTATCAGTATTTGTCGCTCTACTAGAGAATCCAACTCTGCTTTGACACGGTCCTTCGGGGCAATTGGAATCTTGCGACATGGCAACGCTCTGGGTTTCACGTTAGGGTCAAGTGTGAGGGTTGCTTCACCGAGGTCACCCGGTGCATTCTGTTTAGATCCCACTACTTTGGCAATAAACTTGTCTTTATTCACAGTAACAAGACCAAGTTTCTGAATAGCGTTCAGGCCTAGGATAGGCTGTATGTATAAATGTATGTACATATTCCACAGTATGGTATGCAACCAGCTTACTAGAGAACTGTTTTATAGATTTTTGCAACATGTGTAACTTATTGGAGACAACTACAAAGTGCACCATTTCACTGTCACCAGTCCTTGGGTTGTGTACTAGTAAGTCAGCTTCTCCAAGGGGTTTGAGTGTAGACTCATTAAACATGTGTAAAGCCATAGAGGATACATGAGCCTGTGATCTTTTGACATATCTCTGATTGATAATGTTCACATCTGCTCCACTGCCCAATTGGAAATGTACCTCACAGTCATTTACAGTCATTTGAGCCGTCAAAATATCAGTTTTTCTGTGCTTATTTACAGAGTTCACAGAATTGAGCCAACTATCTTCTTCTGCACGGGTTTCTTCCCCTGTGACGACACGCACCTTTTTACACACTACTTTGAAATGGTTCCTACCTTTGCAGCCATTGCAGGTTTTCCCCCAAGCTGGACAATCTTCCTTTCTCATATTGTGCTTGGTGTTGCAATATTTACAGAGTTTAACCTGATGTGGCTTACTGTTCTTGGCCTGCAGAGGTTTATCTTGCCTTTGCTTCCGTGGAGGTTTAGTTTGCTGGAGTTTGTTAACACTTGTCTGTGACTGGGACATTTGCTTTGCTTGATTATTAGCTTGCTGGTAGGAGTGACAGATTTTAATGCATTTTCAAGGTCACCCTCTCTCAATAACAGTTGTTGCAGCTTGCCACTGGTACTGAATACTATTTTGTCCCTTATCATTCGGTCCTCCATTTGGCCAAAATTACATGAAGCTGCTCTGCTTTTCAGCTCAGCTACGTACTGATCAATTGGTTCCACATACGGAGTAGTCCAGAATCTGTGTGATTCTACCACTTCATTTATGAGGGGGTTGCAGTACTCTTCAATCTTTCTCAGAACTTCGTCTGGGTCATTTGGGTCGCTATCACCCCATTCAAAGTGATCATATGCTTTGAGTAGTGATTCTCCGCCACAGTTAATAATGGTTGCTACTTGAATTTCTTTCTCCATTTTCTTTATACCACTAGCTAGTAAGTATATTTCAATCTGTCTCTTCCAAGCTTTAAAGTTTTCGGGTACGTTACCGGTTTGCAAGTTAAGCTCTGGCGGGAGACGCAAATTCGTATTAACGTGGAGAAATGGAGCTGCCGGATCGGCCTCGTTGCTTCCAGTCGCCATTTTCTCAGTAGACAGACCACGTGGATAGGCAAAGTTAATATTCTTATGTTTAAGAGAATATTATCTATCACTCACTAAGTCAATGAAGATTGCTCTATTCTCCAATGCATGCCACCACGTTGATCTCGGTCCCAGTTTTGTATGGACCAGACTGTGTGTATGTGGAACAACACAATATTCACATGTTCAGCAATAAACACTGAACTTTATTCAACACCTAACCATTATACTAATGCATCATGGGAACGGACCACAATGTCAGAGGTCACGGTCTCAACTAACACAATCATCAACAATGATGATAATTTTCTTGCTATGATAGAAAGCTATGATATCTTCGTATGCGTTAAAACCTTTTTCAACAGAAAGATCAAGAGTTGTTCTGCCTACTGGCACACATGCCCATTTTCTTAAAGTTAGAAAAAAAAAGAAAAGTTCGAGGTAGACCCTCTGGGGGAATAGAGTGTTTTCCACGAAATCGTGAGCATGCGCAGTTCGCGCCATTTTGTGCGGGACTGTTTCTCAGGGGGCAAGAGTAGAAGGGGCCTTCATGGACGGCTGCCACGATGTAAAGTAGATCTCCCTGTCGTTGCATTTATCGGTCATGGGTGGCCATGACAACTGCTGTGTGTATAACTGCAGCCACCGGAGAGGTAGAAAAGACAATGTTTGTCGTTTTTTTTTTTTGTATTTTCAAAGGATAGACATTCGACATTGCTATGGATTAGTACCGCTGGTCGTGCGAACATTTCATTGACAGATATAACTGACAACTTCAAAGTCTTTCGCTGCCACTTCCAATCTGGGAAGCCAAACAGGAAAGATAGTATGTCTATTGATGAAGTACCATCAGCTGATTTACCAAAGTCATGCAAAACGGCTAAACAGTATTTCAAGTGCGACATGGGTCGAAGCGGCGGAGTGTAGGACTAGAAAAATTATATTGAAGAAGCTAATCACAGCAAATTTACTTTCTTTCATCCTTTTATTTAGAAAAGTAAAACTGCGTACAAAGACATTATCACAAAGACATATTTGATTTGTTCACTGCTGAGCTGTTGCATGTCCAAGTTTGCAAATACCGGTAAATTACTGTACTAGTAAATGCACTAGCATCGTACCATCTTCCAATTAAAATTAATCTAAAAAAGCTGCACATTAACACCTGAGTAAAATAAAACCAACCTACATGGGAGATGTTAATTTAAAGCACCATCATCTGAGACCAAATTATAATAAAAAACATTACTATATCACAATGTAATTAAATATCCATTGCACTGCTAAATACATAAAATATATACAAATTGCACTTGAATCCTGTATGAACTGATCAATAAAATAAAAATGTAGTCTAAAAAGATGAAAGTTCACTCCTGAGAACCATTTCCATTCTACTGTATTCCGGTAAAACCTATATAATAGCACCATCTAATACAACCATATTTTAAAACCTTTACTTTATCACAGTGTTATTTAAAATCTATATCCATGTTAAATACACAAAAGAAAAAATATTTAAAAAAAAAAGGACTTTTATCATGCAAAGATTATTATAACAGCATGAAAATAAAACACGTAAGATTTTCACAACCCAAGATCACAATGCAGAATAATATTGCACATATTCTTAGTTTGGTATTAAATGCATGTATAGAATAAAGCTTGAATTTTGGAATGAAAAAAAAAAATGAAAAAGAAAATGTTTAATATTAGCGTACACCAACTCTGTCAAAATGAATGTCTTGAAGAGATCCTTCTCTGTGCACAAAACAAAATCGTACTCATGAATGTTGTACACAGCCATTTGACCCTGGACTTGAGTGAAGTAGCTATGATTCCGATTCAAATATGGCCTGTTGTTTTCGTCTAGCTTTAAACATGACAGTTTTCAGCACATATCCATCTTGAAAATACCGATAAGCTTTCCGACTTTTGAATGCCCGCACAAATTTTTTTATCGTATGTCCTATCCTTGCTGTCTATGAGATACGTTTTCAGTTATTTCTTGGAAAAGTCATCAAGTACGTCTGTTAAATTTCTATTACAAGTACTCGCATGAATGTGTTTTCGAAAAAAAGTCAGGTGTTATCATGTTACAAATCCTTGAAAATTCAGATCGAAACGAGCACTCGTCGATATGGCGTCCGTCGTGTACACTCCGCACTTGCCCCTTGAAACTTCAAATCTCACGGAATCACGGAAAATTTAGCGGAAGTCACGTGTCCGTGGAAAACACTGTATTGTTATATACTACAAAAGGAAAGTTTGGCGTAGTCAAACGACATTTTATGGCGACAACAATCTCCCCTTACGAAAATTTCCTATAGGATTTCCTATAGGATCCTATAGGAAATTGTTGTAAGTTAAAATCTTGAGAAAAATGCATATCTTATAAACATATATCATTCTAAACATTAGATATTTGATAAAGGTCCATTTTATCAGTTGAATTGTCAATTATATATCACTATTAAAGCAAAAATGCTTTTTATTGTTTATAATGCACAATCTTATAGTCTTCTATAGGATTCTATAGAAATTCTTTAATTTCTTTTTTAAAGAATTTTTGAAAAAAATTGATCATTTTAAAGTAATCTTTTATAGAGAAATATTTTATCATTAGGAATGTTTTTGTACCAAATCATTGAAGCTGATTTTTTTTTTTAATTCATGTTCAGACCATTACAAAAATCTTATAGGAATTTCTATAGGAACCTATAGGAAATCCTATGCTAATATAATTCATTTAGGGAATTTTTATAAGCCAGGTTGAATGAAAAATAATGAATCTGGTTTAAATATCAGTATATGATTTTGATTTTTAATTTATGTTCAGACCATCAAAAAATCCCTAAAGGATGCTATAGGAAATCTTATAGGAATTTCTATAGGAACCTATAGGAAATCCTATGTTAATCCATATTAATTGTGAATTTTTATTAGGCCAGGTT